GTGTCCAGCCTTATGTCATTGTTTACTCCCCCTAATATGACTTCTACATGTCAAGGCAGGGTTTGAGCTAGATAGTGTTTTTTACCTGTTTGCTTCTAAATCTTTTTTCCCTTTGACAATTTTGAAGTTTATTGCATTGTTATATTTCTCCTATTCACATATACATATACATCAGCACTCTTTTGTGATTTGGGTGAGGGGAAAACAATATTTGGGATGAGATATTTTATGAAGAAGATTCAGTTGCCAAATATATATTTATATATCTTCTGTAGGAACATTACCCAATACCTTGGTTCCTTGATAGTCTTTCTGTCTCTATGGCACCTTTTTACCCTCCTTATTAATAACATTGTAATGCCTTATCAGGTTCTGAGATAGAATAATCATAAAGGAAGTATTGAGAATTGCTTTCTTTTAGTGAAAAACATTCGTTTATTTTCCTCTCTTCTGCATGGAGAGTGAAAACTCACTTTAAGAATATCGATATTTATCATTTTCAATTCCTTTAAAAACAAAATTGGCTTGTGTTTGTAACTGAAATATGGTGTAAAGTATGTGGGAGAAATTTAAAATGTGAAACAGTTGTCTTTTTTAAACAGTTTCAAGACTTAATTTTGTGTTGAATAAAATGATGTCATGAATTTTGCTTAAACTGAAGGCTATATAAAACAAATCTTTTAGCAATGGATTGATTAAAAAACAGATTGATTATGTGTAAATATGTTCAGAAAGGACATTGCTTTTTTTTTTTTGTGGAGATGTAGCTTGAGATAATATTGTCACTGTATGTCCCAGGCTGGTTTGGAATTATGTAGCATAGGCTGGCATTGAACTTGTGATGGTTGTGTGCCTCTACCTCCTCAGTTATGTATCATCATGACTCAGTGGTAGAATGCTTGCCTTGCATGCATGAGGCCCTAGGTTCGTTCGATTCCTTAGCACCACGTAAGCAGAAAAAGCCGAAAGCGGCACTGTGGCTCAAGTGGTAGAGTGCTAGTCTTGAGCTGAAGAGCTGAGGGACAGCATCCAGGCCCCAAGTTCAGGCCCCACTACCAGCAAAAAAAAGAAAGACATTCCGAACTTTGCAAAATGTTATGGTAGAGTTTTAAAGGTAGAATCTTAATGTTTATTTATCTACTAAAATTTTAATCAATTATTCAATAACCATTTATTGAGAACTTAAAATGAGGCAGACATTTATCTAGGTACTTAGGATATGCCTTAAAAGACAGCTTTTGTCCTCATGAAGTTACATGTAGTGAATAAATAGATAATAAATTCATAAACATAAACTATACAGTAATATATTAGTCATCTGAACTATCTAGAAGAAGTAGGCTACTATCTATGTATAGAAATGCCTAAATATTCACGCTTAAACTTTTCATCATATTCTCCAAAGCCTGAATAATACGTTTTTTCCTATCTTTTTTATTGCGGTTTATTTTTTAATGTTGTCCAGACACTTGGGCTCAAGAAATCATCTTGCTTTAACTTCCCAAGTAGCTGGATACAATACCAATTTTCCAAGTCACCTTTCTAGCACTTTTTTATTTGACAAATTAATTTTAGAATGATGTAAAGAAGTATCATGTAACTCTGTTAAGTTTGTTTGCCTGTTAATAAGTAAATCTTGGACCATGCAATTCATCTCCTTTCCCTGGGTTTGAGTTTTGTCGGCTGTAAAATCAGGTGGTTGACTTAGTTTAAAATTGCTTATCTATGCCATTCTTTTCTTTCTTACTAATAGTTCAACTTTGGTTTGTTTTATTACTTTGCACATGAATATTTGTAAGTTTACTTGAAAATAATTTTTCACTTAAGTTTTTAAGTTGTTTTTTTTTTGGGGGTCTGGTCGTGGGGCCTGAACTCTGGGCCTGAGCGCTGTCCCTCAGCTCTTCAGCTCAAGGCTAGCGCTCTACCACTTGAGCCACAGTGCCACTTCCGGCTTTTTTTTTTTTTTTTGCTTATGTGGTGCTAAGGAATCGAACCCAGGGCCTCATGCATGCAAGACAAGCGTTCTACCACTGTGCCATCTTCCCAGCCCTTAAGTTGTTTTTTTTTCCCTCATAGTGCTGGAGATTGTACTTAAGGTCTTGCACATGCTAAGCAAGCAGTGTACTACTTGAGCAATAGCCCTAACCCCATTTTAAGATTTTCTTGGCTGCTGATTTTCTGGAAATCACATGGAAGGCATTTTTAAAAGTTTTGTTTACCAAGTAATGTATATACTACTATACTAATATATAATGTATAATAAAAAACAAAATGTTTTGATTGCTGGGCACGGGTGGCTCGTGCCTGTAATCCTAGCTACTCAGAAGGCTGAGATCTGAGGATTGTGATTCAAAGCCAGCCCAGGCTGGAAAGTCAATGAGATTCTTATCTCTAGTTAAGCACCAGAAAACCTGAAGTGGTGATGTGGCTCTAGTGATAGAGTGCTTGCCTTGAGCTAAAGAGCTGTAGGACAGCGCCCAGACCCAGAATTTAAGCCCCATGACTGACAAAAATAAAAAGTTTGGGCTGGGAATGTGGCTTAGTGGTAGAGTGCTTGCCTAGCAAGCATGAAGTCCTAGGTTCAATTCCTTAGTACCACATATACAGAAAAAGCCAGAAGTGGTGCTGTGACTCAAGTGGTAGAGTGCTAGCCTTGAGCAAAAGAAGCTCAGGGTTAGAGCCTAGGCCCTGAGTTCAAGCCCCAGGACTGGCAAAAAAAAAAGAGAGAGAGAGAGAGAGAAAGAAAAGGATGCTGTGAAAAATATAAACACAAATACTAAGAATTTCTTTCTATGTTGCAGTACTTTTGCCTGTATTCTCCTTGGAATATTTCTTTTTTTTGTCAGTCGTGGGGCTTGAACTCGGCCTGGGCACTGTCCCTCAGCTCTTCAGCTCAAGGTGAGCGCTCTACCACTTGAGCTACAGCGCCACTTCCGGTTTTCTGGTGGTTTATTGGAGATAGG